GCCTGTTTAAGTATATTTTCAAACTGAACTATAACATAGCAGTATAGTTGGAACTTCCTCATTCATCTTAGTAAGTAGAGCTTGGAAGAGTTCTGCTTCCTGCTCAAACCTAATCTGTAACCTATGTGACCCATCTGCTTGAAGCTTTCTGCTAATATTCTGGTTTCTACTCTTCTGCTCCTTGGGGGCTGAAGCTTTTTCTCACTTCTATGTGGCTTGTTCCCCTCATTTTTATGACCCTCTCTCCCCTGGTTTTCACATTTCTCTAAACTTGGTTGGCATATTAGGGTTCTCCAGAGAAACAACACCAATAAGATATATGTAAAAGAAATGTATTGTGAGGAATTAGCTTATGTCAATATGGAGGCTGAGAAGTTCTGTAATCCACTGTCTGCAAGCAGGAGGCCAGGAAAGCCAGTGGTGTGGTTCTCATTCTTACCTAAAGGCCGGAGAACAAGGAAACCACCGATGTAGGTTCGTCTAGTCCAAAAGCCTCAGTCAAATGCTCGTCTTCCAGAAATACCTTCACAGGCACACCCAGAAATAATTTTTACCAGCCATCTGGGAATCCCTTAGTTCAGTCAAGTTGATGCATAAATTAATCATCACAGTTGGATGCTGTTTCTTAAAGCTTTCTAGCTTTGCCTCTCCTAGACCTCTCAGATCATTAGTTTACCTGCTCAAGACCATCTTGGACATAGTTAACAATCAGACTTAGACTACAGTAGCCATTCCCATATCTGTTCTGAAGAATATTAATTCTTATGAAAAATAAGAGTTCCATGATCAAATATGTCAGGACAATGCTGTGAAGGGACAGCTCTTCTATGGGGCCCTGCTGAACTTGCACATACCCACATAAACCACAGGGGCCTGAACCATAGTTATTCTGAACATGCCATGTGGATTCTTCATGAGGGGTTTGGACACTTAATAAAGAGCTACTACAAGGTCATCTCCCATTTGCTTGCTTATGTTCCCTGAGGGGTTATCAAGAGAGAGTTTCTTATCACCTCCCAGGTTCTAATGAGGTTTGGGGCCCTCTTGCCTTAAAGTTGCAGAATATAAAACCACTTAGTTTCAGTCTAGAATTTGCTCCTCAGCAATGGAGTCCATCAAAACTCACCATAGTTATCTGGCGCTTTTATTTCAAATCCTTTTTGCTGTGGTACCTTTGGCTAATCTTCCTTTCACTATGTAAATAATAAACTGAGTCTAAAAGTTTCTTGTCATATCTTTACCAGTCAAATCAGTCAGATGATTTTGCCTTGTCTTGTGTGTGTACTGACCTACATCAGCTAATGTGTACCTCTTGGAAACTCATAAGGTAGGATCTTCAAGGATCTTTTCAGTCCAGTAGTAAAGGCATCTATTTAAATTAGTTCAATTCAGTATTTCCTAATTTATTTAAACACAAAACTTTGTTTCTCTCACAAAATCCCTTCGAAACTACATGGAACACATTCTTAGAATCAATGGACAAAATAGTGCTTTGGAGTTAGTGTTATTCCTTCTTTTGAGATATTTCTAAATTCCATTTATGATTCTTTTAAAAATTGATATCTTCCCTTTTATGGTCTACAGACTCTCTTTTCACATTCAGAAAGAAAAGCTCTAATTCTCTAAAATAAATATCTGCTTCAAAAAAAAGATTTACTTATTTCAGAGAGAAAGAGAGAGAGAGAGAGAGCACGTGGTGGGGGGGCAGAGGTAGAGGGAAAGACTCAAGCAGACACCATGCTGAGTGCACAGCCAGATGAGAGGCTCCATCTTACCACCCTGAGATCAGACCTGAGCTGAACCAAGAGTCAGATGCTTAACCAACTGCGCCATCCAGGAACCCTTAAAGTAAATATCTGCCTTTAATTCCTTTTCTTCAGAATTTCTGTAAACTCAACAAAATGATATTCTGTGGAATAAAATGGCACAGGATTTTCCATGCACATTCCTAGTCTCAGATTCACAAGGCAAACATGATCTTGGATGGTGACTGGTCATTGAACTTGAGGCACTTGCTATTTCTACACAAACTAGTTTTCTTTAGCGATAGCCTCACCAAAGGGTGCTCCGTGCTGTTGAAACTGTTAGGTTAGCTGAGAGAGGGTGAGACTGTTGCAATTATATGGACATATTCTATTCCTCCCAACTTCTAAATTTTGTCCACTAGTACATGGTTAAAAACAGTCCATTTAATCTATACATTTAAAAGCCAAATTATCTTCTTCTTCTTTTTTTTAAAGATTTTATTTATTCATTTGAGACACAGAGATACAGAGAGAGAGAGAGAGAGAGAGAGAGCATGAGCAGGGAGAGAGGCAGAGTGAGAAGGAGAAGCAGGCTCCCCGCTGAGCCAGGAGCTCGATGTGGGGCTCGATCCCAGGACCCTGGGATTATCACCTGAGCCAAATGCAGATGCTTAATCATCTGAGCCGCCCAGGCCCCCTAAATTATCTTTTTTTTGACTAATAAGTGATCAAATGCTTTTGAGCAGTTCAAGGGATAATTTTAGATGGTAAATGATGCCATGGAGTGTGATGGCTAAAGAAAAAGTGTATCTGGAAATATTTCCGTTAATTAATCTATAAATTTAAAAAAGTCAACTTTCAAAAGGTACTCTTCAGAATCTAGAAAATGATATGAGGAATACTGACTACTTAATCTTAAAATTGTAGGTTTATATTTTATTTTTAGATGAAGAATAAAAAGTAATAGAAATGAAGCGATATTTCAACAGTTGATGTAATTAGTGAGTGGGTCTCACAAAGGCACATTGACATTTTACTCACTGACGAGATTAGTAAGGACTTTTGGTTGGCATGTTACTGTTGTGTGAATATTAACCAGTATAAGGCTATGAATACAATAATGGCTTATAATAAAAGCAGAGGCATAGATTTTTAATTAGTTATTAAATGTTTAATTATTTAATCAGCACTTTATGGCTAAACTGATATTCAAGAATAAAAGCCTTGGGCCATTAAAAATGGATATTATGAAGTTATATATATATATATCCTTAATTTAGAGAACTCAAAGTTCTTAATAGTTAATCAAATTTGATTTCATAATATGAAGTTTATAAATACTTAGGCACTTCATAAAATATTTGCTAAATGAGTGGATGATTTTAATATTAGTAGTCAATTCTAATAGGTGCTATTGAGTGGAATAAAATCTTTTAATAATTTAAGATTTATAATATTTCTGACTACTAGATCTTTCCTTCCCCCCTCCCTCCTGCACCCACCTGCCTACAACACAAACACACTTTCAAACACAAATACATAAACTCTTGCACCTAAACAAATTTAAAGGAGGCTTTAATGAGACATAGAGTTAAATGAAAACTGTCTATCCACCTGATTCCATTCCTAAAGAGATGATGGTCACTGGATTCTCCTTAAGTTTGGAAGATACAGCAGAACAGAGAGGGAAATGATGAAGATGTGGTCCTAGGACATCATAGAGAAGCAAACAAATAGTATATAAGGGAGGCAAAGCAAATTACATTGACATGAATGAAAAGCTTTTGTTTTTGTGGTGTTGTAAAAGAAGTTGGTGAAGTGAGGGTAGCTTAATATAGTTTAAAATATTAAAAATTTTAAGGCTTATTTTACTATAAGGAGAGAGAGAAGCTTCCAAAAAGGAAATGAACAACGTGCAGGTTACCTGAAAAAGGAATTGGGGATTACGAGTTGTTGACTACTTTTGCCTATCCGTGTCTGACACAATGAATGCTCAGTAGTGATGACCTGAGTCAGACTAGTAGCTTCCTAGAAGAGCTCTGCATAGTGGCTACAAACAGAGGTTCAGGAGCCTGGCTGCCTGGGTTCAGATTTGGATTCAACCACTCACCAACTATGTGACCTTGGGCAATTTTCCCATTTAAGAAAAAGAAATGATAATATTGTCAAGATTAAATGAATGAATATATGTAAAATGCTTTGAGCTATGCTGGCATATTAAGTGCTATATTAAGTTTAATGTCATTTTCTTTTAAGTTAAGGACAGTTTCTATAAAACGCTAAGGAACTTGGCAAAGAAATAAACAAATTGATCTATTTTCTTTTTCTTGGAGTATTTGATTAAATGCTGATTGAAATTGTACATATTGGTAATTTTTCTCTTCAAATAGAAGATGAATTGGAAAGATGTGGTATATATACACAATGGAATATTACTCAACCATAAAAAGAATGAAATCTTGCCATTTGCAACAATGTAAATATAGCTAGAGAATGTTATGCTAAGTGAAATAAGTCAGAGAAAGACAGATACCAAATGATTTCACATATATGGGGAATTTAAGTAAAAAACAGATGAACATGGGGGGGGGGGGAAGACAGAACCAAACCAGGAAACAGACTCTTCACTGTAGAGAACAAACTGAGGGTTCTTGGAGGGGAGGTGGGTTGGGGATGGGCTAGATGGGTGATGGGTATTGAGGACTGCACTTGTTGTGATAAGCACTGGGTGTGCTATATAAGTGAGGAATCACTAAATTCTCACCTGAAACTAATATTACACTGTAGGTTAACTAACTGGATTTTAAATATAAACTTGAAAAAAATGTCAGAACCAAGAAATTCTTAGATTCTTTCATTTGCCAGATACAAAAACAAAGGCTCAATGAAAGTAATCAATATTTCAAGGAAACACAGCCACGGATCTGGAATAGTTCCAGATCTCAGTGCCTTTTTCACTATGGCATGCTGCCATTCAATCACAAATCCTTTTTCTTGACAGTCCCTTTAGAGAACAATAGAATTTGTAAATATCATTTGCTTTAGGCCGTGTAAATCTTACTTTCTTTTTAAAATGAAAATTTTATTAGTTATTTAAAGTTACAATTGTGCCTTATGTATTTCAAGCAAGATAGAAAAGTACAAAAAAATCTTCCTACAGTGAACTCAAACTGGACACTCCAAAATAATAATCATTAATATGTTGCAGAAAAGTAATCAGACCAGCGAGAAACCAAGTGACACTCAGAAAAGTAGGAGAACTTGGGTTTATTTTATACGGGTGGACCCAGACGAGCTTGCCCTTGAAATTCTGGGCCCTGGGTAGTGGGGTTACAGAGCTTTTACAGGGCAGTGCAGGGGGTCAGGTTCCAAGGACTGTGTTGACTACTGGTAGGTGGGTTTAAATTGGGGCGGGGGTGCTTTAGGCTGGAACATCGGTTAGGGCAGTGGATAGGGCAGTGCAAGAAGCTTATGGTAGAAAGCCCGTCTACAGAAGCAGAAATGGCTTGTTATCTCTTGCTCCCAGCTGGGTCTCTGGTTATCTCTTGCTATTGCCAATAACTTTCCATCTTCTGGTGCCTGCTGGCCTGGGCCTGTTCTGGGTAATTTTCCTCTTCAAATAGAAGATGAATAAGCTTCTATACATCTTTCTAAAGATAAGTAGAGATACAAAGCCAAAGAGTAAGATACATAGAAATTGTTTTATGGAACTACTGTAATATTTCTATGTATTGGTATATAGTTAGTATATATTTTAAAATTAAATTAAGTATATTTAAATTTCATTTGAATTTAACTTGAAATATCAACAAATTTGAAACTAAAGGAATTGTTGAATTATAGCTAGCTTCTCAAAACTCAAGTTATTAATTTTGATTCATGTTTTTGTTAATGAATTTCATTATTGCAGTATTGAGAGTTCTTGGTTTACAAACAATAGAAACTGACTGGGAAACATAAGGAGAGAATGGATTTATTTTAGTGATATTGAGTATCTCAAAGAATTTACAGGATTGTTAGAGAAGTAGACTCAGGCAGGGATCAAGGAAGGCAAGGCAAGGCATGGACAAGATGCTGCCATGACCAGTATCCTCAGTATTGAACCATCTGACAGCTGGATACTTGACACTGCTTTGATCATTGAAATGGTTTGATACACATTGTAAGGATGATGGACTTTGCTGCTTTTGCATATTTTTTCCAGGCTTTTGGAAATTTATCACCTTACAAAACCATTTTTTCTTTGACCCTGGAATCCATGAAAATATCTAAATATCCTTGAACTGGAGACTACATTCACTATTGAATAGGATTATCTTAGCCATAGGCCAACTGTCAGGGTATTGGGAAAGGGAATGACTAATATCATGTATATATATCTTTTATGTGTAGAGGAGACCCAGTACAGATCTCACCTATCTGTGATTCCTTCAAAATAGGTGGTGGATTCAAAAGCTAAACATCCAAATTGACAATTATCCATTAAATATAGTTGCTTTTTTTTTTTAAAGATTTTTATTTATTTATTTGACAGAGAGAGAGAGAGAGATAGCAAGAGAGGGAACACAAGCAAGGGGAGTGGGAGAGGGAGAAGCAAGCTCCCCACTGAGCAGGGAGCCCAATGCGGGCCTTGATCCCAGGACCCTGGGATCATGACCTGAGCTGAAGGCAGCCGCTCAACCGACTGAGCCACCCAGGCGCCCCTACAGTTGCTTTTTTTTAAGCATTCAAAAGTTCCATGTTTTCTGAGTTCATTTTTGCTTGAGGGAATTACTCTTTCTTATCCTATCCTCCCAGTGCATTTTGAATTGGCTATTTATAAAAGTCTTGATTTATACTTGCCCTTCAGATTTTGAAGATGTTGTCCATTACTATCTGTCATCAAGCATGATACTAGTTCTTTCATCACAGCTTCTCTATCCAAGGTGACTTGTCTCTTTTCCCTAAGTATTTTTTTGTTTATTCTTGAAAGTCAATAACAGAATGAGAAAATACATGATGATAAACATTATTTGTCTCAGAACTTAGTATACCCTTACAGTGTGCAATCATTTTTTTCCCTTTAATTTGTGTAAATATTCTCCACTGGAGGTGTGTGTAATCTTTGTTGAGAAGCCTTGGGTTTTTTTCTGGAATTTTGTGAAATGTTCCATACCAGGGTTCAATATACCAAATTGGAAATAAGCTTAGACTCATCCAGGATACTTTCCATATTGATTTATTCACAATCCCTGTCAAAATCCTAATGGCACTTTTTATAGAAATAAAAAAAATTCTAAAATTCATATGGAGCCACAGAGGATCTCAAATAGCCAAAACAATCTTAAGAAAGAACAAAGCTAGAAGAAGACATCACACTTCCTGATAAAATATATTTTGAATATATTACTAAATTACAGCAATTAAGCCAATATTATACCTTCATAAAGACAGACATAAAGTAATGAAACAGAATAAAAAGCTTAGAAATAAACCCATGTATATACAGTCAACTGATCTTCAACTAGTGTGTTAAGAATATACAATGGGGAAAGGATAGTCCCTTCAACAAATGGTTCTGGGAAAATTGGATATCTATATGTAAAGATTAAATTGAGCCCTTATCTTATACCATACACAAAAATCAACTCAAATGGATTAAAGTCTTAAGCATGAGACTTGATACTATAAAACTCTTAGAGGACTACATAGAGGAAATCTTCATGACATTGGTCTTGGATATGACAACAAAAGCACAGGCAACAAAAGCAAAAGTAAACAAGTAAACTAAAGTTTCTTCACAGCAAAGGAAAGAATCAACAGAGTGAAAAGGCAAGCTATGGAATGGGAGAAAATACTTACAAACTATATATCTAATAAGGAGTTAATATCCAAAATATATAAGAAACCCTTACAACTCAATAACAAAAAACAAATAACCTGATTTAAAAACTGGCAAAAAACTTGAATAGACATTTCTCCAAAGAAGATGTACAAAGGGCCAACAGTTATATGAAAAGATGCTCAAAATCACTTAATCATCAGGGAAATTCAAATCTAAACCACAATGAGATATCATCTCACACCTGTTAGGATGGCTATATATATATATATATATATATATATATATATATATACACACACACACACACACATTATATGTATATGTATACATTTTATATGTACATACATGTGTATACATATGTATACATATATATTATATACATATACACATATGTATATAATGCATTAGGGAAGATGGAATCCTTGAACACTGTTAGGGGGAATGTAAAATAGTACAGTTGCTATCGAAAACAGTATGGAGATTCCTCAAAAAATTAAAATAGATCTACCACGTGATCTAGCAATTCCTCTTTTGCTCTTTTGTATTTATCCAAAAGAATTGAAATCAGGATCTTAAAGAGATATTTACACTCCCATGTTCATTGCAGCATTATTCAAAATAGCCCAAATGTGGAATCAACCATCTAAATGTTCATGATAAATGAGTGGATAAAGAAAATGTAGTATATAAGTACAATAGAATATTATTCAGCTTAAAAAAGGAAGGAAATCCTGATATGTGTGACAACAAGGATGAATGTTGAGGGCATTGAAATAAGCTAGTCATAGGACAAATATTGAATACTCCTGTTACATGAGGTATCTAAAATAATCAAATTCACAGAAGATGAGAATAGATTGGTGGTTACCAGAGGCTGGGGATGTGGGAAATGGAGAGTTGCCATTTAATGGGAATAAAGTTTCAGTTCCAGAGATTCTAGAGGTTCTAGAGATCTGCTGTATAATACTGTACCTATAGTTAAAAATACTGTATTGTACACTAGAAAATTTGTTGAGGGTAGATCTCACTTTAAGTGTTCTTGTCATAATAAAAAAAGATTCATCACAGAAAACAGTAAGTCATATTAGTTTTTCCTTTCTGTGTACAGTTCTAGAAATTTTGTCAGTTCTAGGTTGAGGTTTATATCTTAACGTTTTCCCACTTGATTTTTCCCATCTTCTCACTCTCTCAATTTTCTTTCTTTCTTCTTCTTTTTTTTTTTTTTTTAGTTTTTGGGGATGGTATTGTAGAGAAGTGCCAGAATTGTATCTCTGTCTAGTTAAGAGCCTCTGCTGGCTATGGGCGGCAACTTTAATCATCTGTGTCTGAAGATTTCCACTTTGCTTGTAACCTGCAATCTTCCCTTCCTGACTGCCTGCCCTATGGGTTTTGGATTTGTGTAACCATGTCCCACAACTGCATAAACTGATATTCTGTAATATATCTTTATATGTGTCCTACTGGATCTGTTCCTCTGGTTAATTCTGGCATTTTCTCCCCCCAAGAGGGCACACGTGATCTTGTTACTTGGCGGTGTGTAAAGGGGCAGAGAACGATGACAGGTGGAGAAAATTATATAAAATAAAATGGGGCATGTGTGCAGGCCTGGGGGTGGTGCTGGAAAGGACTGGGGGACAGGGTGGGTCTACATCTCCTGGGCTTCGGGCCCCTTCTCCTCGACGCCGTTGGACATGGCATGGCTGCCTTCGTGCAGACGCTTCACCCGGTACGCTTCGAAGTGGATGCTGCTGGTGATGTCCTTGATGTTCTGCATGTGCGTCCTGATAAGGAGGTCCCGAAGGTAGGCAAACTCACAGTGGGTGGTGTTCTCAACTTCGATGGTGCCCCATTTGGTTTTCCGTCCAAGGATCCTCTTCCCATTCACTTGGTACTCATGGTCACTGCCCACCACGGCGAACGGGATCATCTTTCGGAACTTCTCATTCACCAGCCGGTCCTCCGAGTCCTCGTCAAACTCCTTCTGGGGGTACACGTCAATGCCGTTGGACAGCAGGTCTGCGGTGATCCGCTGTTTGAAGTAGACCCTCTCCTCCAGGGTCAGCGTGTCGGCCTTGGCGATGACAGGAACAATGTTCGCTACTTTGCTGAGGCGCTTCATAAACTCGATGTCCAGGGGCCTGAGGGAGTGGCCGGTGGCAGGGATAAAGTACAGGCAGCAGTGGACGCGCGTGTCAGGGATGCGCTTCTTCTGGTTGATGTTGACCTCCTCCTGCAGGTATTTCTCGTACTGGTAGTTGATGAACTTCATGATCGGCTGCCAGCAGTTCTCATTGTTGATGTGGTCCCCGAACCCTGGTGTGTCAATGGCCGTCAGCTTCATGCGGACGCCCTTCTCTTCAATATCATGCGTGATGAACTTGATCTCAACGGTCTTGGGGATGCGTTCCTCCAAGGTGGGCTGCACCGACTTCCTGCTAATTTTGGACTTGAAGAGGGTATTGATCAAGGTGGACTTCCCCAAGCCACTCTGCCTGACCACCATGATGTTGAACTCGAAGCCCTGCTTCATGGCCTTCCTGCACACCTGCTCCAGGATGGAGTCAATTCCCACATAGCCGAAGTCCGCGGGGGCCTTCTCGTTCCGGGGCGCGGGCGCCTGCTTCAGGCCAGCGTCTCTGGGGGTGTCGGCCATGTCGCCAGTGTAGCCAAGAGCTGCCTCAGGGGCCCAGCAGCTGAGTCGGGCTGCGCCGGCCGCCGACCTAATTCTGACATTTATAATTATGGTTTCTTTAGAGATTTTATGATAATGTCATAACATGAGCCAAGCTATGTCCCAAAATTTAAGCAAAAGGAAAAATATTAGAA